TCCTCAGCAGGTGGCCATGGCCGTGTTTTCCTCCCCCCCCCGGTCCCAGGGATGGTTCCAAAGGACTTGGGGACGCTCTGGGGGCTCTCGGTGGAATTCCCGTCCTTTCTCCGCGGGGTGCTGGGAATGGGGCCGGGGGAGGGATCCCGTCCCTACACCCTCCGGCCGGGAGAGCCGCTGTTCTTCAGGAGGGTGCCGGACCCCACCACCACCGAGCTGGACCCCCCGCCCACGGAGCCAAACCCGGACCCCGCGGAGCCGAATCCTCCCCCTCCCAGGCTGAAGCAGAGCCCGGCTCCGCCCGCGGAGCAGCCGCCTTTGCCGCTCCCGAATCCCATTCCTCCTCCTCCGAGGCACATCCCGCCGCCGTATCCGCCTCCCACGGAGCTGCTGCCGCCCACCACGGCTGCGGAGAGGAACGGGAGGCCCCGGGTTACCTCTGGAGCTTGGGAGCAGCGATCCCAGCCCGCCGCGATCCCACGGGAATGGTACTTACAGATGCTGACGGAGCTCTGGCATTCCCCGGACATCCTGCAGGGAAAAGAGGTGGAGTGTGGGATCCAGCCACAGCATCTGGAGCTGCCTTGTCCCCACCAGGTCCGAGCAGCCTTTGGGACCCCGTGGATTTTAGGAGGCTCTTCCCTTCCCTTTTCTCTTCCGCAGCCCTTTCCCTGCCTGAGTTGGCCAATTTGGGACATTCCCCCCCCCATCCCACCTCTGTCTCCGACCTCCCCGTCCTCCAGGGTGGTGCCGGGGCTGTGGGGGCAGAGCTGGAGCTCTGGGGACACCCCTCACACAGCCCCAAGTGCTTTGGGAACGTCCTTCCCGGGTCGGGTGGGAGAGGGCAGGGTGGTCGTCACCCCTCCAGCTAATCCAGAGCCGATTCCTCCACACCCACCTGCCCCAGCTCCGGGCTCTGCTGCACAGTTTGGCCCAGGGCTCGTGGCAACACCACGTGGAGCTGACGGAGCACGTTTCTCCCATCGATTCACCGGGATACCACGGAATTCCCGCCACACCCAACCCACCTGCTCTCCTCCCCCTCCAGCAGCTTCCTGTAGGTCGCGATCTCCACGTCCAGGGCCAGCTTGACGTTCATGAGCTGCTGGTACTCGCGGAGCTGCCCGGCCAGGTCGGTCTTGGCCTTCTGCAGGGCGCTCTCCAGCTCGGCCAGCTTGGCCCGCGCGTCCTTCAGGGCCCCCTCCCCGCGCTGCTCCGCGTCCGCGATGCTCGTCTGGAGGGTCTCGCACTGGGGGGAGGCACGGGGGGGGTCAGCGGGGAGGGGGCAGCCACGGGGAGAGGAAGGAAAGATCCCAGGTCATGGAATCGTGGAGCGGTTGGGGCTGGAAGGGACCTTAACGGTCACCGAGAGCGTGGGCAGGGGATCCCACCAACCCAGGGGGATCCAACCCGGCCTGGGACACTCGCAGGGATCCAGGGGCATCCTCTGGGAAATCCATCCCAGGGCCTCCCCACCCTCCCAGACAGGAATTCCTTCCTAATATCCCACTTAAAC